GAGCAGCTTTTGAGGTGATTTCCAGGTAATTTTGAAGCACTTTTTGATGATTGGTCATGACTGAGAATTGCTGCCAGCTTCATGTTAGGAGTCAGGTACCATTTTCTCATTTTGAATATTAACTAGTCCCTAAGTAAATATATACTTGTTTCTTGAACTCCTCTATCAAGAGGATTTAGTAAAACTTATAGTTAAATGTACAAGAAAGATTCAGAGGCTGGCCAGTCTGGTAGTGTGCACACAGGTTGAGGAATGTAGGCCCAGCATTTTCTAATGAGGAAGTCCCTGTTCCTTACCTTGGTGGCCTGGGCCTTGTGAGAAAACCTATATACATCTTGAGAAGAGAGTGGAGAAGAAAACCCATGTTGAGGAGTGGGGGAAAGGGGAGGAGCATGTGGTCATGTCCTCTTCCTGGTCACAGAGGCTGTACCTCTGTATCAGTACTTCACGATGGGACTGGGTGGAAGTTGGGGGGAGGGGCGGGATTTGCTTCTCAGGGGACATTTGACAACATTCTGGAGACATTTTTGGTTGTCATCTCTGGGGGAAGGGGTGCTACTGGCATCTAGTGGTAGAGGTCAGGGATGCTGCCAAACAGCCTACGATACACAGGACGGTCCCCACCACACAGAATTATCCTGCCCACCATGTCAGCAGTGCCAAGGGTGAGAAACGCTACTCTGTTACCCATTAAATTCCCCAGTCAGTCTGCTGAGGGTGCTGTTGTTAGGATCCGCATAGAATGTGATAGCATGCTGTAAGAGAAGAAAAATATCTACTGTTGGCATTTTTTAATACCTAGAAAACACAGTGGTGCCATTTTAATCCAGCTATTCTTGTACTATTTCTGGAGGCATAAGTTTGCACTGTAAATTACTTCACTCTCTGTTGCCTCTTCAGAAATAGCACCTAACAGTTGTCCTCTGGTGTTTTTGTTTTACTGCAAGCCACTTCACTTCCTTAAGGAATAACTATATCATGGGCAGAAGATTTATAGCAAAAAGCATTTCTATGATGTTTGTAAGTCCATTGTAATGTATTATAGCCAAAAGGGTTCACCTAACGTCTAATCTAAATGTCTTTTTCAGCAAATCAACTCATTTCTTTTTGCACTAATCTCAGTGGAATCTATACTATCTAGAAGGAAAAAAGCAGAAAATATTTATAATTAATTGCTTTGGAATATTATATCACTTGTGTGTTCATCTAGGCACTAGTTTACAGAGCCACTGCTGTCCAGTGTCTCACTAGCCACTTCTTTTTTAAACTAGGTTAAATGTTGTGTGATTAACCCAGTTTCTAACAATGCATACTGTTGCTACTTAAGACTCTATAGAGAAACAGCCATATGACTAGTTTGAGCTGGGTCTCGGTGTGTTGTGGCATACCCACTCACTTATACTTTTCTTGATGTGAATATTCTTGGGTGAATGGGTTTTCAGGCCACAAAGAAACGTATTTATCTGCATTGCTGGATTTACAAGGATTTTCGCATGCCAGAAGCATGGGTTGCATGAGCTCCATGTTAGTCATTTAACTCTGAACGTGGTATTAGTTTTCTAAGGCAAAAACTAAACAGAACTGTCTGAGCAACAAGCTGCCATTGCATTTGTTAGCAACAAGCTTTGTGATGAGACAATGGCATTGTATTGCCCATTAACAAACAGAATGCATTCCTGTGAGTAGGCGACATTCAAGGGGAACTCAAGAATATTCTTCTGAGCCTTGCAGCTGGGTTTTAGGGAAAAGTTTATTCTCTCTCTTTCTTCCTTCTCTTTGGAATTTGCTTCTAGTTTTTGTCCTCTTAGAAAGGCCTTTAAGCTTTCTTGGTGAAAAAAGAATATGGTGGTTGATAAATGGGTGTCAGTTTCCTCCTGTATATGTCTCTCTCTTTATTAGCATGTTTTAACACAAAATTAAAATTGAAGTCTAGGTTTGTTTTATTAATATAAAAGGCAACTTTTGTCTCTGAATTTTAGGGTAATTTAAAATGTTATGTACAGAATTTAGAGTTTAAGGATATATGTTTTAAAAGTGAAAAATTCCCTTAAAAATTAGCTCTTCCAAGCATGCATTTCTTTAGGTACACCCACAAAACATTTTAGTTTGCAGTAGATTAATTCATATTAATCCTCCCTTTATGGAACTCTGAGATTCTGTTTTTTCCTATTGAGATAAATGCCAGGTTAGTGAGTCCTTTGGTCAAGGTCTCTCCATTAGCCAGGCATAGCGCAAGTTCAGAAACCATTATTGAAGTCAAATGAAAATGTCTCCTCAGCACACACATGTGCAAAATCATCCTATAACATCTGATAGATCATCTCCAACAAAGTCATCTATTAACCTGAAGTCTGCCTGTGACCCTTTGTGATAAGTACTGGAAAAGCTGCTTCTGACAGATAAAATTGTTTTATGGTACTAAGTTTTTTCAGTTAATTTGTTCAGCCTACCTAGGTCCTGTTTTATGCATTTGTACGTTTGAGTAGACGTGAGAGGTAGTGATCATGCTAGGGAATCAGAGGTCTGCCGACATGCAGAACACTACTCAGATTGCACTGCTCGGGAACCAGGAAACAAAATACAGACCCTCTTCTTTTATTATTGGTAGCTCCAGATCTAAGCCAAGTATATTACGACTTATCTCCAGAGAGTGTGATCTGACTTGCCAAATATGTAGTCACCTTATTTAAATCAGAATATTTATATTTCTCTAGCAGTCACCTGGGCCCTGGACATGCTTAATGATCCTGCTGAGCTTCCAAAGTGAGCTTTCTCTTCTGCTCTCTACAGTGGATCCTATGCTTCCCTTTCCTCAGGCCTCTGATCACTCACCCTTCACCCTCTCACTCCACACAGGCAGCCTCACTCACCACTGGGAGAAAACTGAATCCATGTGAGGATCTGGGGCAGCTTTTAGCCACCAGTCTGCAAACTTCCCCATGTCTACATGCACCTATTCTGCCTCCTGTGTCACCTCAGTGGAGAAGTTGGTCTTTTTCCAAAGCTGACCTCATCACCTGTCTTCCGGATTCCATTCCCTATCACCTTCCTTTACTTTTAACTGGTTTATTAAAACCAGCTCAATTCTCTCCCATTAAAAAAAAAAAGCCTTTCTTTAACCTAGTCTGTTCTGCACACATAATGCTCAATATTTAGTCATTTTCAAAAATTAATTTTGTATGATTTTTTTGCTTTTGCTTTAAATTATATAATGTCAACTTAAGGAAACAAACCATTGTAATTATTTTTAAATTAAATTTTAAAAACTTTTTGCTCAAGGCTACACAGCTTGCACATAACAGAGCTGGGATTCTAATCCAACTGTAAAGGCAGACTCTACTGAAAGCTCTGCTGGTTTTGACACGGAGGTCACTAGTGATCTTGGCAACAGCAGTGTTCCCTGGTTTAGTAATTGGCCTTACCCTCCCCATGGCTGTTCATGTTGGGAACCTAGGAACCACATTTGACATCTTTTTTTTCTCTTAATTCTGTAGCAAACTGCCCTCCAATCTACCTAGCCAGTCACTGGGTCTGCTGTTCTCAAATCTCCAGTCCTCTCTGCTGCCCTTCCAGGACCCTGGTCTAGGCCATCCCTACTTCCCTCCCTCCTCCGTGTCACTGCGCTGGTCTTCCAGCTGGTCTTCCACAAGCAGTCTTTCACCTTCCAATCTCTTTTTTTTAATCCTGCTTCCTATGTAATCTTTTAAAATACAAACCCATTTATGGCAAATTCTTGCCTAGAACTCATTAAAAGTTTCTTAGTACTCTTGCGCTGAAGACCAGAGTTCTTTTCCGGCTTATAGGGCTTTGTGTCTTCTGGCTTCTGCCTACTTCAGATTCATTTTGGATCTTATAGCTCCTTTTTTAAACTTTTTTAACTTATAGTACCTAATATAATATAAATACTATGTAAATAGATGTTATATTTTAAAATTTGTATTTTTAAATTTTTGTATCATTATATTTTATTGTTTTGTGGGATTTTTGCCAAATATTTTTGATCTATGGTTGGCTGAATCCAAGGATGCAGAACTGTCTGAGAGGATGGACTGTATGTTTTATTCTCCTTTGTATCCACAGCACAGAGCACTTAGATTGACACCATAATGGACACCAATTCTTTACTGAAAGAATGAATAAATTAATAACTTGAGTTTGGGAGTCAATCAGCTTTGAGTATATTTAACATTAAAATTTCTAAACTAAGGACCAGACCTTGGAATGGATAACACTTCCAAAATAGCATGAGACGTCTGTGGACAAGCCAGCTTGCACTCTGCAGGCAGAAGCTCCCTCTTTCTCTCCCCCTTCCCTCTTTCCTTCTCCTTCTCTCCCCTCCTTCCTCCTTACCTCTTCCTCCATCAAACCTCTTGCATTCTTTAAACTACAGCACTTTTGATTTGTGATTTGGAAATTTCAGAGGAGAATTTTTAAAGAGGAAGCTGCTGCATCCATTTCCTAAACCATTCATTCTAGATCTTCTGGCTCCTTTTGTATCTGCTGTATTCGCCTTCTTTCAGTTCTTCCCAAGCTCTGTTCTTCCTGCCACAGGTTCTCACTTTCACACTGGTTATTCTGTCTGCCACATTCTACTCCAGTATTCATGTTTGTTTGAATATCATTTCCTCAAAGCAGCCTGGGTTAGAATCTCTGTACATGCTTATAAATGAATTTGCATATGTATACATACATATAAAGCTATTAAATATATGTATATCCATACACATGCACATCAATTTGTGAGTGTATGTGTACAGGTTTTTTTAAAAAGTGTTTTATGCTTGAGTAACATTTGTCAGTTGTGTATTTAGAAATTATGAGTATTTGTATTTAGGAGTGTATATATATGTATTTATCATGATTACTATGCTATGATTCTGTTTAGTATCCACTGTTGTTCAGAATGTACCACATCAGACACTGATCAGGTTCAGAGTTGTTGTGTTCCCTCTTCTATGCCTTGTCCTCTGACCAGGGATTGTTCATCATTCCTATTCAAGGTAAGGAAACTGCTGCAATGAAAGCTGATCTCCTGAGGGCCAGGAATATGAAAAGGTACATTAACCAACTGACTGTGGCAAAGAAGCAGTGTGAGAAGAGAATCAGGACCCTGGGAGGCCCTAGCTATGACCAGCAAGAGGAAGGGGCCTTGGATGAGGGGGAAGGGCCTCAAAGCCAGAAGGTAGGACTTTGTATTTTCTTGTTTTGATCATCTCAAGTTTATTGTAAACACCAGTATAAACCACATATACAGTCTAACTTTTTAATATTTAACTTAAGATACCTGTTCCATAAGTATGGAATCATATATTTGCTTTTGAGTCAAAGAGCTACATGACTTGGTATCCTTGAGTTCTGTGAACGGTAGGTAATAGGTGTGGTAGGTAGGCGTGGGGTATGTGTGCATGCGTATATGTGTATGTGTGTATTTCCATTTCCCTTTTGTCCTCCCCCAGTCCCAGAAGAGCATATTTATATTTACAGGAGTTCAATAAATTACTCATTATCAACTGGATAAAAATAACCACCTATGAAGTAGTGGGCATGTTAGAAGTTATTTTACTTGACTCTTGCCACATTGCTATGAAACATATTTGGCTTTTTCCTATCTATGTGGCCTTAGGCAAGTTAATTAAATGTACTATTTCATCACCTGAAAAATGAGGCAGAACAAGATTTAAAAAAAAAAAAAACAGATATGGTTGGTTCACAAATCTGAGTTCTTTCTCACTAAACCATAGTATTTCAATGACTGTTTTTGTGTAACAAAACTTTGGACTGTCTGTTGATACCAAGTCCTTAAATTATGGTGCTGAGGAAAGTGTTCTAGCTCTACTTTAGTACCTTTCCTAACTCTAAAGGGCCAAGCTTGTCTTCCAAGACCTTGGGCATACTAGGATGCAAGGAAAGCCACAGCACCCCATGAGGAGCTTGGCTGTACCCCTGGGAACAGGACCTCAAGGCAAATGCCAAACTACTCTTTTCGTAATGTGTCATTTAGTCACAGAGAGGCCACCATCAGTATATTAATAATTTAACCCTGGCTACAGCCTCTAACCTCACCTATTCTGATATTTAGTCTCCTAATCTTTTCCTGTTCCGCTCTCAGTTTGAGTTTGGCTGCTTCTCCTTGACTTCCCCTGCCTTCCTATTCCAGTGATGAGACTTTACCTTCTTACTTGTTTCTCCCCTAGTCTTCAGAGCTGCTTCAGGAAGCTCTTTGCCCATCTTGGACCAACCCCAGCATAGGCCAGAGTTGTACAGCATCTTTACACGGTGGTGCAAATGCAGCTCCAAGGAACTCTTGTCTTATGGAAGGGTCCCCTGACCACTGGAGGTCTGTTTATTTTTCTATCAGTAAATACACCTTTCTGAGATTTTGGCTTTGTAGTCCAAAGTAGAAACTTCACATTTTGGTGAAATTTAGAGAGAGAGTAGATTTGACAGGTTGAATACTGCCTCTCTTCCTTCTCCTCCTCAGCTTTTGGCTTCTTAAGTAAATTTGTAGCCACATTTCTCATAGATGAGGTCTTTGTCTTATGTCCTGGTCATTCATCATTGAGCAGCCATTTATTGAGGGCCCACAATCCCTTACTTGTGGTGCTAGGTACTAAGATATAAAATGAATTATCTCTGTTCTCAAATAATCCCATATAATTATAAAATAAAAAGGTAAGTGATCCAGTAGAGATATGAGATAAATACCTAGGAGAGCTACCTAGTCAAAAGATGATATACTTTTAGATGTTATGGTAAAGGACAACCTTGAGAAAGATAAAGGAGGCTCATTTTAGAAGAATTGAATGGGATTTCAAAAGAGGTTATCTGGCAGTGTTTAATAGAAGTGGCCTTAATCCAGTACCACCTCCATTTCTAATTTGTACTTCTCAGATATTCAGGAAAGGAGAAACTCATTTCCGTTGAACGGTTTACCCTCAGAGTAAAACTATTTCCTCTAGTCTTCAGGCTGGAAGGCTCAGATAATAGTGCAGAATTCCAATATTTATGGTGGTTTGCTATTCTAGAGGTAATACTGGTTAGTTTGGGGCCATTCTGATATCTTCATAAGTGGGAAAAACATTTTTGCTATGACCTAGTCATATCACATCCTGAGGAATTACCACTAACTTTATTTGAGAACCTATATTTTAAATAAGATGAGTCCTCCAGTTAAAAGAGATTGTCAGAGTGAATTTGTTTAAAAAAGGCAAGACTGACTTACATGTTGCTTATAAGAAACTAAACATAAAGACACACATAGGTTGAAAGTAAGAGGGAAAAAGACATGCCATGTAAATACTAGACATAAGAAATCTAAAGTAGCTAATATTAATGCCAGACAAAGTAGGCTTTAGAACAGGGAATATAACCAGAAATGAAGAACATTTCATTATGATAAAGGAGTCAGTTCATCAAGAAAACGTGATAATCCTAAATATGTTTGCAATCAGTAAGAGACTTATAATATACAGGACATAAAACCTGACAGAAGTGAAAGGAGAAAAAGGTTTTCATGTACCACAATTATAGTTGGAGACAATAACACCTCTCTTGGTAATTGATAGAACAGATAATCACAGAATCAGTAAGAATATAGACTATTTGAACAACACTAACAACCAACTGGAACAAATGGACATTTATAGAATACTTGACCTAACAATAGCAGAATGTACATTTTTCTCAACTGTACATTGAACATTGACCAAGAAAGACTATATTACTGGACAATAAAACAAGGTCTAACAAATTTAAAAGGATTAAAACTGTACAAGTGTCTTTTTGATACCTGTACCCAAATTTTTATCATAAAAAAATTATACAATTCACAATTGCAAAGATGTGGAATCAACCTAAGTGCCCATCAATTCATGAGAGGGTAAAGAAAATGTGGTGTATATATACCAAGGAGTACTACTCAGCTGTAAAAAGGAACGAAATAATGTCATTTGCAGCAACTTGGATGGAACTGGAGAACATTATCCTAAGTAAAGTATCTCAGGAATGGAAAACCAAACACCACATGTTCCCACTAATAAATGGGAGCTAAACGATGGGTACACATGGTCATACAGGGGTGTAAAGGACATTGGAAACTAAGAAGGGGAGAGGGTGAAAGTAGGGTGATGGATAAAAACTTACCTCTTGGGTACAGTGTACACTATTCAGACGACAGACACACTAAAAGTTGTGACTTCAGCATTATACAATTTATCCATATAATAAGAACATTTGTATGACCTAATATTTTGAAATAAAAATTATAAAAAACAAAAAAATACAAGGGAAAATAAAAGAGAAAACATAAGTGGTCATTAAGCAAAATGTATAAAAAATTAAAAAAAAAAAAGATTAGAACTATACAGAGTTTGTTCTCTGACCACAATAAAATTTAATTGGAGATCAATAATAGAGGTTTGGAAAATTCCCAAATATTTGGAAATATAAACAATGTATCTAAAGTAAGGCTTTGATCAAAGAAGAAATCATAACATAAATTAGCAACTATTTTGAATGGAATGAAATGAAAATACAATATGTCATTATTTGTGGGATGTAGTTAAAGCAGCCTTTAGAGGGAAATATATAGCTGACACTTGAACAATGTGGGGATTAGGGGCACCAAAACTCCCACAGTCTAAAATTTACATATAATTTTTAACTCCTCCAAAACTTAACTAACAGCCTACTGTTGACCAGAAAAGTCTTACCCGTAACATAAAGTCGATTAACACATATTTTGTATGTTATAGGTGTTACATACTGTATTCTTAAAATACAGTAAGCTAGAGAAAAGAAAATGTTAAGAAAATCATAAGGAAGAGAAAATAGATTTACTGTTCATTAAGTGGAAATGGATCATTACAAAAGTCTTCATTCTTCATGTTGAGCAGGCTGAGGAAGAGGAGGGGTTGGTCTTGTCTCGGGTGGCAGAGGCAGAAGAAAATCTGTGTATAAGTAGACCTATGCATTTCAAAGCCATGTTGTTCAGGGGTCAGCTGTACTTGTTTAATGCTTATATTAGAAGAAAGGTCTTGAAATCAGTGATCTAATCTTCCCCCTTAAGAAGCTATAAATTAAAAAACTAGAAGAGAAGAGAGAAGATACACATTACCAAGATTGAGAATGATCTACCAGGACATCTCTGTAGATGCTATACACATTAAAATGATCATAAGGGAATATTATGAACAACTTTAAACCAGTAAATTTGGCATTTTGAATGAAATGGACAAATTCTTTGAAAGATACAAATTACTGAAACTGATTTGAAAAGACATAGAAAATAACCCAAGATGTATTAAAGAAAATCAATCCATAATTAAAAACCTTCCCACAAAGAAAATTCCAGGCTTAGATCATTTCACTGGTGAATTCTATTAAATATTTAAGGAAGAAATAATAACCAATCTTAACCAAACTCTTTTAAAAAATGGAAAAGAAGAGAACTCCTCAACTCATGGGAGATGAGCATAACTTTGATACCAAACCAGAGAAAAAGATTAAAAGCAAAGAAAACCATAGACTGAGGTCCCACATGACCCTAGACAGAAAAGTCTTTAGTAAAGTATAAGCATTAATAAATCAAATCAAGCAATATATAAGTAGAAAAATAATTTTAAGATAGTTCTCTTGACAGTGGGTCCTTAGTGTAAACATTGCATACTTCATTTATTTGTGATATTATCAAGCTTTGATGGAATATTTATATTTTGAACAGCTTTATTAAGGTATAATGACATGCAGTGCATTACACATGTTTAAAGTATTCAATTTGATAAATCCTGACACATGTATACACTCATGAAACCATCATCACAATCAAGATAGTATCTATCACCCACAGATATATTTTTGTACCCTTTGTAATCTCTTTTGACCCCAGTTGAAATCCACTGCTAATCCTTTCATCCATATTTACTCAACTAGAAAGTGATCTCTTAACTATTCTGATTTTTTGGCATCTGCCAGCGCCTTCTTTCTCTTGGCCAAAATCCTGGTTCAGACTCTTCTTGATTAGTTTTTGTTGTTATCTGCTGTGATTCACAACGGCTATTATATGTCTCACAGAGGTGGTGGTATTGCCTTTTCACTGATAAAGAAACTGGAGCTCAGAGTGATGGAGTGGTATAGAGCTCTTGGGACTGGAAAGTAGCGGAATCAGGATTCAAACCTCAGGATGTCTAGTGCCTCAGCCTGAGCAATTTTAGCTGTACAGTGTTGCCATCCTATCTTGCTTTGTTTTCATCCTAAGATGAAAACCAAAAATCTGTATTACCTTATTTTTTTTTAATAAAGTAGCACCCCCTAAATGGCCCCAAAATGGAAAGATGGAAGAGTTTAAGGAAAATAAAGGGAGTAGAAGAAATGAAAATATATGGAGGTTGGAAATCAGTGGCAATAAATGTCTGACCTTTTCTTTAAGGCCAGTTTGCTTATCAGTTTATTTGATCCATAGCTTTATCTAAAAAAAGCACTATTGAATGTAGCCCAGGACTCTAAATTTGCATGTGAAAAATTTCCTGACTCTCTTTGTTGATGCTGGAGTTGTTGGCCTTCTTCCCTAGCCAGCATTGCTGTGCGGGTTCCTTTAAACCTCTTTGGAGCACATACAGTTAGGATTTGTACTTCAAAATGCTTCACTGGTAGGGTTTACACAAAGTAAAGATAGATGTTATGATGTCCCAAAGTTAGTAAATTGACTGAATACCAGTGGGTCTGAAATATTTATGGAAACTAATTATTTATAGCCTGTGGAAGAGTTGAGTGTAATACATTGATTGTATGCTCTTGATTTTATAAACAGTGTACAGTAACATTTCTGGAAATTTACCAACTGCCATGATCTTAATTTTAAAAATTTCAAAATACAAGTTTTTATTTAATTGCATTAGAGCTCCACTTATTAGATGTAATTTTTTTTTATTACTAATTCATAACTAAGGATATGGGCCTTAAATTCCCTCTAAATTAATTTGAGGCATTCTCTTAATTGAGTCATGAGGTATTGTGAAGGTCATCTGTTTTCTCTTATTATAGCAGTCCATACTCAAGATTGTTCCTTCAATGTCTTTAAATAGGTTGCTTTTTCTTTTTCTCTGAGTATGCAAAATAGTAAACAAAGGAATAGGTGAGTTGATTTTGATACCCATATAGTGGAATACACCAATTAAAGTGATGCTTACAAGAGATTTTTTTAATGAATGTGATATTATAAACAAAAAGGCAAGATAAATCATTTTTAGATTCCTCAATTATGTAAAAATAATTTGGAAAACAAAAATGCCAAACAGTTTATAGTTTCCTGCTCTTTTATACATTTCTCTTCAATTTTCCTGTTATTGGCACTTACTGCTTTTAGAATAGAATGTATATCCCATAGGGCAGGAATTTTTTTCTGTTTCATTTCCTAGAACTGTACCTGCTACCACATAGATACCAAATAAATTGCTCTTCAGTGAATGAATGATTGATAGAAAATTGATATTTTTTGGTTATGTGCATTTTGAAAATAAGCTTTATTCCATTTAAAATTTAGGAAGGTGATAGAAGAGATATATCAATTTACCCAGAGTACTGTATTATATTGACTATGACCTTAAAAAAATGCATCTTTTCCTAAATGTAGAAATTAATCCATTGGAAGTTAAAACAAACTGGTATTTAAAATTTGATTTTTAAAAGTTTTTTCTTAAATTCTCTTAATAGATTCTTCAATTTGAGGATATCTTGGCCAATACTTTCTACAGAGAGCACTTTCGAAGGTACATGGAAAGGATGGACAAGAGAACTCTGATTAGTTTTTGGGAGTCTGTGGAACATTTGAAGAATGCTAACAAGGTGGTGTATATACGCTCAAAGGAATAGTAATCAGTAGCTGGTGAAAACTTGTATGTGAGGCAGTGTATCTGTTTTTCTCAGTGAAGCTGTAAGATAAGTATACATAAAGGAATATCTTAAACCAAATATAATATTGGCATTATGTTCCAGCCCATAATGGCAAATAAAATTATATTTTTACAGAAGATGCTTTCAAATGTATAGTTAAGGGGAAAAAAGATTTATAAATGTACCAAAAGATTCAATTTGGTTTTCAGGTAGTTATTTTTTAACACACTATAAAAAACCATATATATATATATATATATATTCACATTGCTGTTATAATGAATTTGGCCTTGTTACCTACATTCAGTGTCCTAACATTGCCGATCATGTGCATTTTGCACTACTACTTTTATTTCATTTAAAATATGATTGAGTAAAAGAACATAAACATTTTTGTTAACATATGCGTCTTATAATGAAGAACCCAACAATAAACATGGTGCTTTGCATTTGGCAAGTTCTTAATATGTGTTTAAAAATTTTATATATATATATATATTCTTTATGTATACAGCCCCCCCCCCTTCTTTTATCTGTGGTTTCCACATCTGTAGATTCAACCAACAATGGACTGGAAATATTTGGGGGGGAAATTACACTGTACTGAACAAGTACAGATCTTTTTTTTTCTTGTCATTATCCCCTAAAAAATACAGTATAATAACTATTTACATAGCATTTACATTGTATTAGGTATTATAAGTAATCCAGAGATGACTTAAAGTGTATGAAAGGATGTACATAGTTTATGTGCAAATACTATAACATTTTATATTAGGGACTTGAGCATCTGCGGATTTTGGTATCTGCGGGAAGTCTTGGAACCAATTCTCCACAGATACCAAGAGACAACCATATATGTATGTCTGTGTCTGTAAACATAATATGTATAGCATATATATATATATATATATATATATGACATTATATTATGTCAGTATATGACATTTTGAGGGGTTTATTAAAATAAACACAAAGAGCATTTTGTACATTGAATTACTCATTTGTATATGAATGTTGCTAGAATACTAATTTAAAATATAAATCACAAAATCACATTGGTTAAGGAACTAAATACAGTCTTGCAATATTTTTAAATCTTCTTAAGAATGCCTGTTATTATTAATTTACAAGCCACAAATTACCTCATTTTACCCAATATTGAATTTGCCAACTTTATTACTCATTTTTTTAAATTTTTTATTTTTTTTATTTCAGCATATTATGGGGGTACAGATTTTAAGGTTTCAATAAATGCCCATTTCCCCCTTATTACTCATTTTAATTACCAGGCTTGACTCCAAATGACTTCTGGCTACTCTCAAAAGATTATCATAAAGAGCATTCTAAAGAATTTTTCTTAAACTACAGAAGACAATTTGAAAAATTTCAGTGGGAGAGCCTATATCTTCCTCAAAATAGCCTTATTTTGACCTACCAACACTGGTTTGGATATAAACATTCTGGGATGTTTGTTAAATTAGTTCAATTCATTAAGTTGTATGTCTTTGCTTCTTGCTACTGTTGAAACTTTATATGACATTCCTGGAGTTAATGAAATGCCTCTAGAGGAAATGTAAAGATTATGTTAACCAGACAAGATGTTTGCATTTCCGAAGTAGGCTGGTGGGGCCCATGTGTGCTGCTGAAGACTGTGCTGTCTAATGTAAGCTTGATTAGGATGGAGTCATTCTGAAGAATATTTTTCTTGTTTTTTAAAATTGCACAATTATATTGACTTTCTGGGGTAAGAAATGGCACTTCTAATTATTTATGTTAGATAAAAAGTCAAATAGGATTTCACTGATAAATTTCCTCCCCGTGAAATTGAGATTTATGCAAAGGAATCCATTGCAGGAAGAGAACTGTTCTCATTCTTATTTTTTCCCTCCATTGCTTAAAAGAAATTGCACGTTAAGTATTCAACATAAAGTATTCATTTTAAGGAACCAGTTAGTTTTTTTTGTTTGTTTGTCTTTTTCAGAATCTGACATTTACCCTTTGGCCCTGAATTTGGACACAAAAGCCTAAGCCCCACAGTGGTACCAGCAGCAGGGTCCATCCTAAATGTCTTCCTTCCAGCTTTAAAATGCAGGCAATTCAGAGGAAAATAATTTCTCTCAGAGATGATATTCCTTACCTCTCTTTCTTCATCTTCCTTTCTTTTCAGAATGAAATCCCACAATTAGTCGGTGAAATTTATCAGAATTTCTTTGTGGAGAGCAAAGAAATATCTGTGGAAAAATCGCTTTACAAAGAAATCCAGCAGTGTCTTGTAGGAAATAAAGGTATTGAAGTGTTCTGCAAAATCCAAGGAGATGTTTATGAGACGCTAAAGGATAGGTATTACCCTTCATTTATTGTCAGTGACCTATATGAGAAATTAATGATGAAAGAGGAAGAAAAACATGCCTCATGGTTGACTCCCAACAAGGATGAAACGGTGAGTCACATTTAACTTTTTGTTCCCTTTTCAGTGGATAAGCTGATGATGACGTGGGCTCATATTGTATGAGCCAAATTTGATGTACACCTTCGTCTTTTAATATACAGGACTTTAAATCAAATAAAAAGTAAACTTGAATTACTTTGCTGCTGCTTATGTACTTCTTTCTTCCCTTTTTGTCCTTCTGACCTACTTGCTGCCACCTGCCAGCATTGAGTCAGAGACCTCCTGCCCTGTCTGTTTTAGACACACCCCTGCTTTGACTCTTGAAAAGTGAGGGTGGAAAGTCTGTGGGGTGGGATATTTGTGGCTTAGACCAGCTAAGGGAATCTGTAGCATGTAGTCCAGCCCCAGAATAGAGAAGGGGTGGGGGAAAAACGAGGAGGAAAAGAGAATGTGGGTGGTGTTACAGGAAATATTTTGAAGTTTTAAAAAAAAAATCAGATGAAATTAAAATGCTCTGAAAGAAACCTTGCTGAGGCATACTTTAAGTCTAGTTTTCCTGCAGTATGCTTGATCATTTTGGATAGCTCTAGTCACCATCTATCATTTACTATTAGTGGTTTATGAGAGCTTATACGATTTGTGTGAAGAAAAACAAAGCTTTTTTTAGTCATCTTACATAGAAATATTATAGTTTATCATGGATTTTTTTTCTGCCCAGTTCACTGTATCTCTAATCCTAAAGAATCAAGTACGTACTTGCTCTTTTCATGGTATTAGAAGTCAGCTTGAAATTTCTGAACTGTCGATTGTGTGATCTTCATTTAGACTCTTTTAAAAAATTTTTTGACATGTTTTTTTACATGTAAAACCATTGAACTGTGATTGGTCCAAAAATCCCTACTTCTTGCATTTTATTTTTGCTAGATCACAATTTGTTTTAATTGTGTTCTCTCTCTACTTCAGAACTTAAAATGGTAAACACTACAGCAAATGCTATAAACAAGGTTATTCAAATTAATAAGAACAACTATACCCAACAGATAAACTGAATAAGGACTTGCACTAACAGTTAACATGAGAGGTTAACACGAAAAAATGTCCACCTTTCCCTAGGATTCAAAGAAAGCTAATATATATTACTGACCTTTTGAGAATGCCTAACTCTTTATCCAAATAATCTCTAGATATGAAACTTTTAGAAACTTAGCCTAAGCAAATAATTAAAATATAGGAAAAAAGTTTACACATGCAATAGCATTATTAGGCATCTACCCAAAAGAGCATAAGACATTCTATAATAAAGAACATCTGCACCTGAATGTTTATGGCAGCACAATTCACTATTGCAAGGACGTGGAAACAACCCACGTGCCCGTCAATTCATGAGTGGATTATTAAAATTTGGTATATGTTTACAATGGAATATTACCCAATTCTAAGAAACCACAGTGAGCTAGCACCACTTATGTTATCCTGGATTGAGCTTAAGCTCATTATCCAAAGGGAGATAACACAAGATTGGAAAAATGGGCTCCACATGTACTTGCCATCAAATTGGTAATGATTAACACTATGGTGTGCAAATGGTGGTGGTGTTCACCAGGGATTCAGGAGTTGAGAAAGTAGATCCACATCTGAGGGAAGTGGTGAGCGTTGTAGAGAGGAAGGGCATACCTCTAACCCTTGCTAGGGAGAGGCAATGATATAAAATGCTACCAAAATGTTTGTGCTGTCATATTTTCTTGGGAAAAAAAAAGTTTACACATGATGGAGTTTGTTTTAGTATATCTGGGATAACAAAAATGCAGAATCAACCCTATAGCAAAGGTGTCAATAGGAATATGCCTCAGTATATTATCAGTGCAATAGAACACAATGCGGCCATAAAAACTATAATTTTAAGACTGTAATACCCTCAATACCCAGCAATACATATACGAAAATGAATACAAGGTATAGAATTATGTCATTATGTATATACTTATAGATAACAAGAAGAAAGAACATCCAGAATGAAAACAGCTTGTTTTCTGTGACTATCAATACTTTATTTTTCTTTGAAAAAAATTTAATGTTTGTTGCAATTAATGAAAATTAGAAGAAAAAATTCTGGAAGAAAGATAAGGAGTATACAAACAAGGAGATGATTACCAGCAGTTCTGTTCAGTGCCCTGCATGCTGTTGCTGCCTTTGAATCTAATGAATATGCTGTTTGATAATCCAGATTTTTCCAAGTTATATAGTTCTTCGCAAATATTAAGTCACTTTCAAATGCTAGCTATTTTACTTATAAAATAATCTACCTATTTATTTGTAAATTACATCTTCAAGAGAAGGACTGAAGAAAGTAAATGCTGAAAATACTCTTACTAGTGGGAATTTGGAAAGTTTTTTTTTAAGGGGACTTGCATGAGTTTTATATTCTTAGGAGACTGGAAAGGAGACAAATCTTGGTGTCTTTGCCAAAGATTAGGTATAGAATATTACGGTGGAGTTGACAAGATAACTCAGTTGCCTTCCCTTGTTTCATGCAGATTTCCATAGGATTTTTCCCCCTTTCTTCTTTAGGCTATTAAATGTTTCCTTTTTTACTATAATTATGATTACCAGTTTATTTGGTTCCAAATACTTTGATTTTTCTCTTTGCTGAGAAAAAGCAGTCTGCCTCTAAGCTTCCTATTTCAGTGTTCTTTTCTTACTTTGGAACAATGTATTGTAATGATACGGAATCTATACAGTAGGTAATGTTAAATTTTCTATCATTTTAGGATAATGGTGATATGTGACTTTTCCCCCACAGGGTCCAGGATGTGAGGCTAGTGAGGAAGCTGTAGATGAAGGTACCAGTGGGATTAATGAACAAGCCAGTTTTGCTGTAAACAAGCTACGAGAACTAAATGAGAAACTTGAATATAAAAGGCAAGCTCTAAATTCTATTCAAAATGCACCAAAACCTGACAAGAAGGTAACTTTTGCTTTCAAGGTTGTCTTTGAAAGTTTTCATTTGTCTAATTTTATAGCGTAGTTTTCAGTTTCTGTTGAGAAGTGTCAGTTTCTTTAAAAAGATTTTTTTTTTTAACTGTTAGCAAGTTCCATTGTTACTTTTGTTTTTATTTTTTTCTTCTAGGATAGAATTAGAAAGCATTTGTTTTTAATCTTTTATGATTTGGAGTTCTTTCTCAGTTATCCACTGGAACTCTGTGTTCCTTGTGTCAGGCTTGCTTGTGGCGCCTTTGGGGAAGGGGGTGTTAAGCTTTCTCTTGTGCTAAAGTCATTTCTGGAAGTAAGTTAAATTCTCAAGGACAATCTTTTGAAAAGAAAATTTTTTTTCAACTCCTACAGGTACAATTTAGAGAACCTCACCGAATTATGCAAGAAATAAATTGTTTTTCTAAAAGCCAACAGAATTTGAAAGTTTAAAAATGTAAAGATCATATCATTAATTGGCATTTTTCAAACCCAAGCCTTTTGCTTTGTGTTTATGCCTCTTTAGAGTTCAACAAAGAGGTTTCTCTAATAGAGATGTGGCTGATGCTCTTGGTGTCTGCCAAATTGGTCCCCTCTGGCACTTTCTGAATGTGTGTTTGAGGGTTTCAAGCAGTCCAACAGGAAAGCAACTTTGAATAAAACAATTTCAGTGAGTCACATTGGGTTTCCTGTGAATATGTCCCCAGCCCTTTTGAACCCTCTTTAATACTTCTTTCGTGGACATTCAGATGTTTATGTAGTAAGAGAATATTCCTGAAACAAGATGTAAGGAAAATAATGTATTATGAGCCTATCAACAATTTATAGTTAAAATACTTATTCATTTATCATCTAGTTATTGTCTAAACAAGTACGTTTTCTTTAAAAAAAGAAAAAAGTCCTACAAAGACATACGGTCTTTGTTAGTAGCAATCTTTTTACAGAATCACGAAGGAAATGGAAGTTTAATGTGAAAGTCACTTTAATTGTTAGTCATACTCTGAAAACAAATAGCCAGGTTTCCTGGGTTGTCAAAAGAAATAGATTCATTCTCTCCCTTATGAGGAGTCATTCCCAGTTAGTACACATAGGACTTGGAAAGCCCTGCCGTCTCCGTAGGGACAAGAACAAGCATCTTTGAGATGATAAACAGAATTAGCTGGCATGGTAGATAATCAGTATCTGCAATATGGCATGGTCTTTAAGAACAGTTGTCTTGTTTATTCTGGATTCATCTCATTATAAACTAAAATGTATTTATGGGTAGCAGTATGAAAGACGAGCTAGAGAATGTTCACTGAATTATTTTCTGTTTGGTTCATCATTTGGTTGAAAGACATCAGCCTCTCTTAAAAGAACTTATGATAATCATGGCATAAACATTCTGAGGTATAACTATGTGAAAGAATTCTCAAGAAACTTAGAGAGATTCAGTGATATTATAGCTTAATTTGAACACTAATCTAATCTAATCAGATCATCTTCCCACGCATATATAGTGGTACAGACTTCTTCCCCTCAAAAAAAGAAAGGCAGGGGCTCCATTAATCATCTTTCTTCTCTCTCAAATCATGCACCAGCAGTGTAATTAGCTACTGGATGTCAAGTTAGCCTTTTAGTTTGATTTCTTGAAATCTGCCCAGGTTTTATTTTTTTCTCTACAGAGATTTTTTGTGTATCTGAAGCAAATGGTCCAATTCTAGTTTAATGTTGGGAGTAAACCAATAACCATGAAGAATCTCAGTAACAGACATGTTGAGGAAATGCACAATGCTGTGCTAGTCACTGTGAAGAATCAATGAAACAGAGTCTGATACCTGCCCTCAAGGAGCAGACATGTTGGTTGTGGAATTGAAACATACATGAAAATGAAACATAATCGCAGTCGTTATTGGTGATAAAACACAGGATGATGGCACAGACAAGGAGGGGCTCCTATTAGGCTTTCTGGGGAAGGAAAGAGATGTTGTAGACTCCACATTCAGAGACTTTTGGAGCAAAGCTGTTGTCCTCTTCAAACTACAAAGTTGCATAACCCTATAGGTTTTTTCACAAAAAGAGATCCAAGGAGATGGCAAGCATAGCATTTAAAAAAAATTTCTTTTTAAAAATTGTGATAAATATTCATAACAAAATTTACCATTTAGCTATTTTTAAGTGTACAGTACAGTGGCATTAAGTACATTCACATTCTTTTGCAACCATAAGCACCATCCATCTCCAGAACTTTTTTCATCATGAAAAACTGAAACTCTGTATCTATTAAACAGTACTTCCCTATTGCTCCCTCCCCAGGGCCTGGCAACCACCATTCTGCTTTCTGTCTCTATGACTTTAACTATTCAAAGTACCTCATATGAGTGGAAGCACACAGTGTTTATTCTTTTGTGACTGGCTTATTTCATTTGATGTCTTCAAGGTTCATCCCTATTGCAGCATGTGTTAGAATGTCATTCCTTTTTAAGGCTGAATAATATTTCACTGCATGTATATACCGCATTTTGCTTTGTTTACCATTCATCCAGCAGTAAACACTTGATTTGCTTCTACCTTTTGGCTGTTGTGAATAATGCTGCATGAATGTGAGTGTACAGATATCTCTTAGAGATCCTGCTTCCAATTCTTTTAGGTATATATCCAGAAGTAGATTGCTGGGTCGTATGGTAATTATTTTTTAAATTTTCTGAGGAACCATCATACTGTTTACCATGGTGTCTGCACCATTTTACATTCTCACTAACAGTGTGCAGGGGTTCCAGTATCTTCATATCCTCACTAAAACTTATTTTCTTTTTTTTAAAATAGCAGTCATCCTAATGGGTGTGAGGAGCTATCTTATTTTGATTCTGATATTCATTTCTCTAATGATTATTGATGTTGAGCATCTTTTCATGTGCTTATTAGCTAGTTGTGTATATCCTCTTTGGAGAAATGTCTGTTCAAGTTCTTTGCCCAGTTTTTCATTGGATCTTTTGTTGTTGAATTTTAGGAGTTCTCTTTGTACTGTGGATATTAAACCTTTACCAGATGTGTGATTTGAAAATATTAATATTTTCTTCTAGGCCGGGCGTGGTGGCTCACGCCTGTAATCCTAGCTCTCTGGGAGGCCGAGGCGGGAAAAGAGAGAGATTAAACAAAAGTTGTTTTACAATTCTGGTGAAGAAGCATAACTACCTGTCTGAAGTGGAGTGAGATCAGATCTACCAAGCAGCCTAGTGCAGCTCCCAGTCATAGGCGAACTAGAGTGAAAATATGGGGAGGGCAAGTAGGACAAGTGTGGCTAAAAGAATGAGTTTAAGTTTATACTCAATGTTAATTCTCCAGGATAAAATTGTCTTACAAAGTCAAACTTTTAAAATAAATTGGGAGGAAAAGCAGCCAACCTACCTCTCCACTGGTGATGGACGCTTTCCACATGCCAAGGTTTTCACACCACCAAATCTGTTCTTGCCATGTGCAGCTGAAGGTCTGGCATTCTTTTTCTATTAGAATTATTTCATCCTTCAACTTGGAAACAATCTGCCACAGGAAACATCCTGGGAGTTATGGAAACACTTACAATGCTATGAAATTCAGCAAAGTAGTAGGATACAAAATCAACAATGAAATCAGTTGTGTTTCTATACAGTAACAATGAATGATGGGAAAAGGAAATTAAGAAACAATTCTATTTACAATAGCATCAAAAAGAATAAAATATTTAGAGAGTTCTATAATAAAACTATAAAACATTGATGAAAGAAATTAAAGAAGACAAATATTTGTAACGACATCCAAGTTCATAGAAGACTTAATGTTTAAAATGTCAATAGTACCCAAAGCAATCTACAAGATAAATGCAATCCTTATCAAAATTTCAATGACATTTTTGCAGAGATAGAAAAATCTATCCTACAATTCATACAGAGTCCCAAGGATCCAAATGGCCAAAACAATTTTGAAAAAGAACAAAATTGGAGGGCTCACATTTCCTGACTTCAAAACCTACACAAAAGCTACAGGAATCAAAACAGTGCAGTACTAGCATAAAACAGACATAGATCAATGGAATATAGCAGAAATAAAATCTCATATATATGGTCAAAAAATTTTTCAACAAGGTGCCAAGACCATTCAATGGGAAAGGACAGTCTTCTCAACAATGGTGCTGGGAAAACTGGATATCCACATGCAAAGAATGAAGTTGGACCCTTACCTAACACTATACACAACAATTAGCTAAAAATGAATTAAAGACCTAAACATAAAAGCTAAAACTATAAAACTGTTGAAGAAAACATGGGAAGTGGCTTCATGACATTGGATTTGGCTATGATTTCTAAGCAATAAAAGAAGAACAGACAAACAGTCTCACCAAAATTTAAAACTTATGCATCAAAAACACTATCAACACAGTAAAAAGGCAAAACCATAATTAGAAGAAAATATTTTATTATATTTATTTTTTTTTTTTTTTGAGACAGAGTCTCGCCTTGTTGCCCAGGCTAGAGTGAGTGCCGTGCGTCACCCTAGCTCATAGCAACCTCAAACTCCTGGCTCAAGCAATCCTCCTGCCTCAGCCTCCCAAGTAGCTGGGACTACAGTCATTCGCCACCATGCCCCGGCTAATTTTTTGTATATATTAGTTGGCCAATTAATTCTTTCTATTTATAGTAGAGACGGCTCTCGCTCTTGCTCAGGCTGTTTCGAACTCCTGACTCGAGCAATCCGCCCGCA